ACCCCTCAGCTCGAATGCATCACGTACTAATGCGGCCTTTTTTGGCACGTCATTCGACTTAGCCCCGGCCAGTGCGGGTGGTGGACTTTTGGTGGATGATCAGATGCAAACCAGCGTGCCGGACGTCTATGCTGCCGGTGATTGTGCTTTCGCCAATTGGACTTGGGCTCCGCATTGGATACAAATGCGTCTGTGGAGTCAAGCACGTCAAATGGGCTTTCAGGTATGCGACTAAATGGTGAAAATGAACTCTCTTAGGTGTTGTTCACATTTTCAATATAAATACCACGGATGCAAGTTGGTTGTCACAGGAATAAGATACACTTAATGATCAAACTCGTGCAACACCCTGACTTTCATCAGATTTGTTTCGCCTAGCGCTTAGTATTTTGAGTCTCACTGACATGATTGAATATGATACTTCCACACATCAGACGCAGCATATCTGTAATAATATCCACTTATGTTTTTGCTTCAGTTAGTCGAGTGCCATTAAAATATACGATCTTTTGATTTCGACGACGGTTGCTGGTGCATCAGGTGTAAAATAACAAAGCTTCAGTAAAAAATCATTCAAGTTGTATAGGCATGATGCAGGCATTGTACTTTTCTTTTGACAGTTTTCTATTCGCTCTTTTTATCTTTGAGCACCAGAGCTAGTCGTTTTTGCATGGAATCCACCGAGTTGATTGTCAGCATTTGTCGCACCCTGGCCTCGTTAACCACAGATAAACCCAATGTAAAATGGACGGCTTGTATACTTTGCATCAAATTAAAACAGAATACCAACTTAAAATAATTGTATCAACCAGATTAAACACACAATAAACATTTTTTCGAAGGAATGAACTTTTATGCTGCTTTGTATATTTTTTAAATTTTGGACTGCAACGAATTTTATCGTGACACTCAGGGTCGCGTAAATTGAAATTGTGATGCAAGAGAACTAAGGAGATGAAGTTCGAAGTAAATGCTCTTTACCCATAACTATCGATATACAGGCACAATACTGGAAGCTGAATTGTATTTACAAAATGAGAATCATGTTCCACGAGTCCGACCAATACCTGTACGTGCCAGGGGTCTGGAGTCCGAATTCTAGACCGGTTGATGAGCTCCAAGTAGAACGAAACTCGTTTCGAGTAATTTTTGTGTGAAGTCTGACGAATGTTCAGTCAATGTCATGTGCCCCACACCACCATTTGCAAGTAACTGTAAGTCAAATGTGAACTTACTTTACTTCAACCGTTTATTCCAACCCCCAGTAATGCAAAAATTTGTCTTGCTCCCTTCCTCGTGTCTTATAAATTTGTGCTTAACTAATGCTTTCCGTATCTCGTCTATCTATGTTTATCCGTCTGATAATTCTGGTTCATTTTATCACCCAATGTTAATTTGTGGTCTTTTGGTGGTAAATGTTGTTAAATGATCATTAGTTATTTCATGAAAATCTTTGGTTTGTATTCCCTTCTCTTCTCTCCGTCCTGCAACCTCCCTTAGGCTGCAAAAGCCATGTTCGGACATGCGAGAGGCGAGCAATCGGTCCCGTTAGATTTCACTTTCGAACTGTTCACTCACGTCACCTACTTTTTCGGGTTCAAGGTAATTATGGTGCATCGCTGATATTTTCAACTCCTATTAAACGAATGAGACAATTTGCTGTAATTTCCCAGGGATTGTTTCGTGTAAAACCTATTTCGGAGAGCCGGGTTTCTCGGTAAGGTTTGTGTATGTCTTCTTTTATCATGGCTGGAAACAAAGCAAGGAGACCGTATTGATTAACGAGTGGAGGATACCTGTCGTTGTATTTCATGCGTATGACAGTGTGGCACCAAGGGAACAAATGTTAAATGCACATTGCCCGGTATAGGTAGAAATTTGGAATAAGATGTAGGTTTGTCCTGATCCGTTTTTCAAGCACGTATACACATATGTTTATGCATTACTCATTATGAATCCTCTCGTTATTATTCTTATTTAGAAAACGTATCGATAAAATTCTTTGTCATATGACTAGTTTGTCTTGTCATCACTGATCAGCACCTTGAGTTGTGTTTATTAAAGTATTGTAAAGCAGTATCCCGCAAATGATTTCTCTCACTCCCCGTCAACCTAGCTATTGTCTTGATTCTGTTTTTTTAAAGCTTTTGCCGTCGTTTCTGATGGGCCTACGTCATAGTGTCAAGTTTTACAATCCGTTGTCGAATTTCATTTCGGTTCCAGGTTTTAGGGGACTATATTTCTAATAGTGTTCATACTCTATAATTTCTTTTTGTTCATTGAACATATAATTGTACCGTCAGTTTTCACGAGGGGGTAGGGGTTGTCCCCAGCTAAAAGCTGTATTGGTTATACGTAAATCAAGATGGCTTATAGGTTTGGTTAGATTAGAATACATGATCTCCATCCGGATTCCTGTATTGATGACCTTATCCAATTGATCATCAACGCAGCTTTTCAATACTACGCGATTGAACTATTTTATCTCAGTATACCTCGGTACATTAGTTCTTCGTTTTTTCTCGATGTTTTTAAAGGGATGCCGAAAAATGATGTGTCATAGCAGCAATAATGATAATCGAAGACAATACTACCTCACTAATCAATCTGATGGCAGATGAAATAATATTAGTTCCGCATCCGCTTACTCTCGGCGCTTATACAAACCCCATTACTTTTCCCTTTTTTCCTCGTTCTGTTTTACAGGTGGTACTTCTGGGCTTGTTCAATGGCCAAGGGTTGGACCTGACCTCGCCAGACTGCTATCTGTTGATGCGAGTCACCCCCGGTGAAGAATATGTGAAGTGTGTAATGCAATCGGGACGCATGCAAGGTGCCTTACTCATCGGTGAGACCGATTTGGAAGAGACACTGGAGAATTTGATTGTGAATCAGTTGGATTTGATCAATCTGGAAGATTCTTTACTTGATCCCAACATTGATCTAAGTGATTATTTCGATTGATCTGTTCCGGTACGATGGGTTTGAACTCCATTGCCTTTCTCCAGTCCTGCATGACCTTGTCAGATTGTGATGTATCTAACGTCCTCACCTTTGGTCGTCTCAACCACCAGTCTTTCTTTGGAATTGTATGATCGATTATACACAGGCACATACGTACGTGTGCAGTTGTACACCATGAGTGGTCAGTCATCCGAATAAATCCGTAATTGTTCTGGATCGCACGATCGAATCCATTCAGCATTTATTGTTTTCCTTCCGTCCGGGCAGCCCATATATTGCTGAGTACTGTGTATGGGTAATGCAAATTCGTTCCTTTTTCCCTGATAAAAACCTTATGAATTGTGAAAAGTAAACAGAAGTCATCCAGGTTAACCTCGTGACCCTCTCGTAAATTACAGAGGTGTATATGAGAAAAATTTTCAATTTTTGTAAAAATATGTAGTGAACAATTTGGTTTTATCCGATTCACTTGACTGTTATTAAGAATCTGAGTACCGGGAAATTAAATTTTTAGGAAGGTATTCCGTGTATCGCCCACACCACTAGACTACCCTGGAAGCTCGCTCACTATACGTGTAGCTATTTTTATCTATTTTTATTTCAGGAACATAAACACCAAGATTATGAAAACTCAGTCTTGGAGATGCATGGTCGTGGATCCCACGACCAGTTTACGCGGTTTGACTGCAACGGTTCCTTTCACGTCAGCAGCATGCCCACCTTGATCATTTATTCAATCAGGCAATGGGAATAACGTTCTCTGTAGTTCAACATCATCTGCCCAGCCCTAGTGCAGAATTACTCTAAAGATATGTGAGTTTCCGTTCAGGTGACGATAGTCCAAGGATACCCTCAGGTTAAGCAGAGCTGAATGCTACCAGACGCGTTCCCGGGTTGCAGATAGAGGGATACCTGTTGTGTCCGGATCTCGTTTGATCACAATATACACACAACAAGATATCACACGAGGATCACACGTACCTCAACGGCCACACTATTCGTCTAGCCTCACGAGTACGATCACAGCACAAATTGGACGCCACGAGCACTAGTAGCCTTCTCCCAGCTACGTAAGCAAGAACACAGTTAGTGCACAGCNGCGAACGTGTATTCGACACAGGAAGCAAGTCAATTTACAAGTTTTAATCCGATGCTTATATGGGTCTCAAAATAGCATCGATTAAATGCAATAAAAGATTATGCCAATCAAGTACAGTTAGCAAAGTTCGATCGGTCATAAGTCACGGAGTTAGCGAATTTCAATCGATCACGGANGGAGTGAATGTCTCCGTATGACGCGATATGATTGGTTATTCTCCGCGAGATTGGTATTGATTGGAGTTGTTCCAAATTGCAGACACTCGAAAAATATTCAGTTTTAGGTGAAAATAGTCTTTTTACCTAACAATACCTTAACCGAAGAAGGTTAGCTGTGAATAAGTCGTACCATACCGCAACAAATAAGCAGTCGTGAACAAACAGCGGCGGCACTATCAGAGTGTGATGGGTTTCAGGCTGGTCACCTGGATCCTGTTTAAAAGCCGCATAAGCCCAATGGCGGTGTCGTGACAAAGGTCGATGTGACTGGCCTTTTAAGAATGAAGTCATTGATCTCCTCACTTCCCAGGCGAAGGCTTACTTCCGGCTGCTTTGTAGGTTGCACTTGATTGTGCAAAGGCTAAAGATGTGCCCTCGGATTAAAAAAACGCAGAGTGACGCTGGGGACGTCTCTCGTACAAAACTCTTAAGGGACTTCAGGATCATATCTGGAGCTGGCTTATTCTTTCCCAGTAGCCAGCTGCAGTAAAGTAAATCCAAGTTTTCGATGGCAGAAATGAAATGGTACACAGTCGACCTCGAATAGTCAGGTAAATCCCTTTGATTTATGAATTTTGTGCCAAACGGTCAAAGAGAGTACTTTATACATGTCACTTGTTGACCCAACGAAATGTGAAGCTCCGGCAGGGAAATAAACGATGAATGGACCCCTCCAGACGTCTCGTTAAATTGACGTAAAAGAATTGCAGTTCGTCGTCTTTTTCCTTCCCGTTATTTTCTTTCATAAATGTGATTGTAATGGCTTGAGAAGGATCTCACAGAAAGCATATGTTCGCTCACTATCTGTGTTTTGATTAGAGTCACATTGTCCGAAGCGAAACTCGGATTCATTTGATAAAATGAGATACAATTCCAAAGCTTTCACTGCAAAAATATAACTTTCCACATTCCATAGAATCCTCGTTAGAGCAATAACCAAGAGAAAACCGCTGTCGTTCCTCTGTGTTGAAAAGAATACAGTTCACGGTGCTCATCTTGATGATGGACCTACAGCTGCGTGGGCGAATGAGATTAATTTTCAACCCTAAACACATGCATTTGCTGCAGTCCATCTTTAGGGGTGAGTATAACGCAAAAGCTAATTGAACTGCATGCATGTTAGATCTTTGGAATATCAACAGCGAGGGAAGAAAACAAATTTTTGTGTGACAACATTTCTATCCTCTTGGAAAGGCTGTTACTGGTCAACTAAGAAGGAGACCATGAAAACACTATGCACGAATCTTTCCTTCACCGAACCAATACAATGAGGACAACGCATAATCTAATATTACTACCTGCTCTATGGTTGGATCTGATGCCGCATCATTCCGATACTTGTTATCTTATGCAAAAATGCACAGCAGGCTCTTGTAAGGGAATGATCAGAATTGAGACCACAACCAACTCGAATGTGGAATGACTGATATATTGACATATGTATGAAGGTACATATGTATCTCGATTTTTTTTTGACTTATATATGAGTGGTGTTCCGTTTGGACGACGTATCAGTTATAAGGCTGTTCCCTTACGAAGCAACGATTCTTATACATTGGCTTTTATGAAACTCATGATACTATTCAGTCGCTAACATGCGAGACTGATTCCAACTTGGATTGAAAAATCACAGAAACGAGGAAGACAAAAATGTTCATCACAATAACGGCACATACTGGATGGTTTGCTTCGGCGTCCTATCGGTTTGTACGTTCTGCTGTTGATGTTTAAGTTTAATTAACAGTCAGAGAGCAGTTGGACCAAAATGGCCAGTAGAAATTCCTTACTGGTGGTGGTTCGTACACCAAGAGTTTCGTTTAGCCATTTATATGCATTTAACGCGTCAGTATCTAGTGTTGTATATCCCTAAACATCATTGGCCATCTCCTCTTTGCCGTTTTGTCTCTCCGAAGCAGTTTGCTATGGTATACTGACACGATTTGCTCGAATCAGACCTACAATGATATGTAATCTGCTGCTTGTTGAACTCTCACTACTCTGGGCGTTCTGAATCAGAAATCATTAGTGGTAACGTTTTAGTCATCAGTTTTTTTCAGGGGCATAAAGGTTGTAATGCGACTCGGTGCGTGCGCTCTACTCGTTCCACAAGGTGTGTGGTCAAAATCGCCCGCAGTTGGCTTTGCTGTTTCGTATTTTACATAAATTTTCGCCATGACCATGGAAATTGCAGAATCCATTCCTTAATCCGTTGGGACCATCAAGCATTTCAGTTGACAAAATCATTAAATTTGCTGCTCCTTGGAACGCAATTATTAGACTAAGACGCGCCGAGCGGAATTCCGCCTGCCCTTCCAGTTGGCCCTTTAACTGTTCCAGCCCCAACTGAGCATTAACCCGCCTACCAGTCTGATAATTTTTTGCCAGGTTTCGTTCAAAGAAGTGCTAAATACAAGGGAACAACTAGTGTGTATATTTCTTTTCAGTTCGAAGGAATCCACTAAAATCTCCATGGCTCCTTTGCATATTTTTCTTTTAAATTCCGTTATTGTTACCGACAGTAGTAGATAACAATTTTGTGTTTTAACTGTAAAAAGATCAGTTTTCTCGGTGGAAGTTGAACCAAATCATCGTGATCCCCACCCAGTCTTTTAGTACAACACACTATACCGACTGAGATACGAAGCCATGCGGATAGCAAAAGTCTTTTCACATTGGGATCATCCACTCAACTTGACGGGTATATGGAATCCACTAATTCGTATATAAGTTGTCTAGCGTGGTAGCTTTGCCTTCGAATCCACCGAAATCGGTTCTAAGGCTTGCCCCCGGTCCCTATAGAAAAAAGTATAATTTGATGAGGCTTGGTTTGTATGGCCCCACTTGCGTAATACAGTGGAATTTTGAAGTGTGTTTAAGTTTGTGAAATTCTGTGTTTCCGATTTTTTGCCATTTATTTATCTTACCTGTCTACAAAAATGTTTAGTAAAACACCTTTAATGACGATTGAGGAGATTGAGTCTCAAGATGAAAAACGGTGTTGTAAAGATTAGGGGGTTTGGCGATTGTGGTTTAGAATGAGTTTCCGCTGACAAATATTCTAAATAAAGCTGATTCAAGTCATATTTGGAACATGCCCGCGATTTCTAGATTAATATTAAATAGGCATGAGAATTAGACGTATCCGGGCACATTTCTTGCGCATCCTGAATCCACTGAGTTTCTGGGCCATCCCAGCGTGTATGTGAAGAGTTGAGCAACACACAGCTATGTGAAAATAATTCAACTGTAAATCAGTGGCACTTCAATTTGGAATCATCATCGTTCAGCGAAATACAGTGAATGGAACTTCACTGATCGCTACCAAACTCGCAATGCATGCAAAGTTATTGAGAATATGTAAAATGGACAGGGATTGGGCCTACTTTGAGGGACGGGGAGAAAGTAAACCTCTATTGTCAACACACTGTATGCAATCTAACTGTGCACACACACACCTCTTCAAGCATTTTGACCTTATAAGAAATGACAACAAGAAAATCACTACTGTCAGTTGGTTGCCATATATTTCAATGTCTTCAACCAACCAGTTGAAGAGTCCTTTGAACCCTAACCTGAGAGGCGCGAGACACCTCTGCATAATCGCTCCATACATTTCTTCATGCCTCGTCATAACCTCGTCTGTTGACCTCCTGTTAGGACGGAGCTCACAGAACCCATCAAGCCACGCGCGGATCCGCGACACCAAAGGCGATTCGAATCACAATTGGATGACTAGGACGAATCAGACAGCTGTCGTCCGATCNTGATCAGATTGGTGCGTAACCACGTCGTTCTCGTATGCCCAATTTACCCACTTATATTTGTGTGTCGCATCATGACCATAGAATACATATACACTCTGACCATTGTTCTCCAGTCGTGTTCTCTCTCCCGTATTCTTGTTGGGGGTTAAGGGAAAGACACTCGTGTCGCTTGCATTTCTAGTCAGAACATCACACCACATGGGTTCCTCCAGCCCGGAGCGGTTACAGCAAATAAGATGCGGTGAGGTAGACGACAGCTTGATATACGCAATACATATCCTAACCAGCGAAGCATACTGATCTGCATTCATTGAACTGAAAAGTTCATCCCGATAAACTTCCAAGCACACGATGGCTTACCTCCAGTTTTCTAACCCGTTCACTACGAGAGTAAGTAAACACCAATAATCAAAAACTTCCAACCAATGTATATCTTCTACTCAAAAAGTCAAGGTCTCAAAATCATAGAGCAGAACTGAACAATATGCACAACCGTTCAAATACAGTGAAACGTCGCGTCTATGCCAAAGATGTTTCAGTCCTACATACTCTGCTCAAGTCTTGGAAGTGTGGGTGATTATTTATTTTGCATAGCTACCATCATTAGTCACACAACTACTCCTAAGTAGTTAGAAGCATGCCTTGTTATTCAACCCAGACTCGTGAGATTGAATTACAGTTGAATTGTTCTCACTCCGCATTGTGTTTCCCAACTTCTGGAACACCCTATAGTGCCAACAGATTAAGTTTCAGTTGGAACAAGCATTGCCCATGCCCTTTCGTGCTGCGGTTTTGGCTATGCACGTGCGTGTGAGCAAAGACGCGTCTGCGTAAAATAAATGCTATCAAGTGTTGATGCTGAAGCAGAAATATGAACGAAAACACAGATTGTGCGGATAATTGGTGATCGGTCAATACCAATGCTTTGATTGCTCCATATATAATGCGAACAGGAAATAAAAAAGTAATATCTCTGAAGAACCAGGGTACCGTAGAAAAAAATATGAAAGTAGAAATAATCTAAACCAGGGCTCACCAAATATGTAGTGGAAAAGATACTACTGATACTAGTAATAATGAAATGAACGGTACATGAAACGGACTCACAGAAGGATTGTCCGATTGGTTGCAGATCCTGTTCCTCGGAAGTGTGGCTCCGGTTTATAATGTGCAGTGGAGCTGAATAGATGGCTGCGACAGTTAACGGACCGCTTAAAGATAACTGTTAATGGCCTCGTAATGCTTCAGCAACACTCAGAGAACACATGCGTAGTCACGAACAGTTTGTATTGTGTTGTAAATAATTATGCCTATTAAAACAAGTTGTACAAAAATGTCATAGAAAAGTAAGACACTACAGTTCCTCCGTACAATTTATCACACCACAGTTCTTCAGTAAAGATGTCAACTTCTCGTTTACTCAACTGTTTAATCTTTTTCATCCGAATTTCATTAATGTCTGAGTGTAAAACTAAATAAATTTTCTTAATAAAATATGGGTTTTTTTAATATTTTGGAGTGTCTGGAACAAATTACTTAATTTTTTAAACTCATGGAAACTCTGGTATCAGCTTTTTCTTTTTTCTGTCATTTCCCGGTACTGTAAAACGAATCATTGATCGGGCATATTGAGCAAGATAATCGCCTCTTCGATTCAAGTCAGTGCCGCACCGCCTTTGACTACGTTTCCAATCACTACTGCATTTAGAGGAATAGTACAGTGAGGAGATCTATTCGGTCATATGTCCCACCCACCGGAATCTACGAAAATCAAACACTTGTGTTAGTGAGCAGATACATGAATGTTGCAGGCAAAAGATAACTCAAGACTGTTTGTGTGTTCGAAACCTACTACCTACATCGTATTTTACTCGTCTGGTGAAATAATGTGACAAATAATACAGCGAGTTAGGCGACATTGATCGTGAACTATCATAAGTAATCGATTTACGTAAATTACGCAGTACTGCATTTTGCGCGTGTTAACGTCTTGGCTTCTCTGGTGTGGTTAAACGAAGACCTAGGGTGGTGAGACCGTGACAGAGAGTATGGGCATGAAAATCCTGACCTAGGAACTCGTTAGTACAAGCCGTGTTAGGCTTCCCGGTTGCACACTTGGTGACCAGTCCAGTCGTTGGTTTGGGGCAATGAGTGATACGGCTAAATGCCATAAACAGTTGTTTTCGTGTATTAACTCTTTTTTTACATATAGCTGGGTTTCCCATATTCCCTTTTTTACCCCGCTACTGCTGTCACCTTTTCATTCATTTTATCCGCTGTGTTCTTGATGGGTCAAACAAATGGTTAAAACATACCGAATACCTGATATTCTTCATTTGGCCTTGATTCTACCTATCTATCTGTATGACCTCACCAGATTGATGCTGTGAAACCTTGGAATGTGCGAAAGTGTTTGATTCTCTGTGATATCGCGTAGTTCCGTTTTTTGTATGTTATTCATTCATCCTACCTGTCTAAAATAACCCTGTCCTCCGGTAAAAGTCCAAAATAACTTTTCGGGTAAGGATGGTGCTATACTGAGCGAGGTGAGAGGCCCTCAATGAAATTGTGAAGATGGAGTGTGCTGTATCGTTCATAGACAACGTGCAAAATGGTCTGATCAGCCAATCAAGTGGATAGTATGTTTGCATGCTACCTGTGAGGTCCTCGAATCAATCCTCAGTGGGTTGGCTGAGTGCTGTTCAGGGTCAACAGCACTTCCTGGTTTTTCAGTCCACGCTTTATTTGCTCTATACACGACGAAATTCGTCATGTAATTGAGTCAAATCTTCCATTCCCCCCCCCCCCAAAAAAAGCCTCTATTTACTAACATAAATAGCACTGTATCCCGGCACATGGATAACTTGTTCATCCTTTTACGATTCAGATCAGCTGGTTTCTATCCTGTTTTGGCAATTCTGACCAAGACTGTAAGCTGTTTTGAACTGGTATTTCCTCACACACTGCCTCGTTATCATTTTAGTAAAAACAAAGCAAGAGATCAAATTTTTATTGTAACTGTCGGTGTTAGATTATCGACAATGTTTTATACACTACTCGTTGGTCACGGCTGAATAGCTGATGCAGGTCGTTTGTGCGACGGCCCACGGTAAGAACGACGTGCTCCGTTGGAACATCTTTTTCGTTCCCAATTAGACACAATAGTCTACGAAGCAATTTGTCTAAATTGCGCAATTTTGTGCAGCAACCCTGGTACGTATTCTGCTCTATTTTTTATCCTTTTTGTTTCCCTCCCCAGTTGATCAAGTTAGCGCTTTTTCTTTCCTGTCTTTACGACGTGAGGAGGCTCTTCAGGTGTTACAGCCTCCTCTTTGGAGGCGCTACTTTCTGAGCTCTCAGTCAAGCTGTATTGTACATCAAATTTGGTCAAACAATTAGTCCTGTACAGTTGTTGCAGTACACCAGAATTTACTGTCTCCGGGGGAGGCAAAATATTTTTCAGAATAACTTTAGCTTGTTTGTAGAGCATTTTCATCGCATGAGTTTTTGATGGATCATCGGAATTTATTGATTCTGACCCAATATCCAATGAGTAACCTCCGAGCGGGAGAGGTTTGTCCGTTTGGAGACGTCCGGGAAGAGTGATATCTGTTCTACCCAAACTTGATGCTTCGGGCAGTTGCAAAACGGGATCGGTTGAGTCAAGAGTAGGAGACTCCCTGGGTGACAGTCGGACTTGTCTGGCCTTAGCTTTTAGATCTTCTTCCTTTTCGATCTCGCTATTCAAACGTCTCTCCATCATCCGGTAGTGCGGGGGGTGATTAATGCAATAGTAAACATCGCCGAGCACATTTCTACGTCTTTCATCTCTTGACCGGACTCCTTGAACACTGTGATCTCGCACGAATTCCGCATTGTGACAGAAATGGATAGCATGTAACGATCGAAAATATTCCTCTTTACGAATCCACACTGTCTGTCTTGCCGGTCGGGTCACTTCTGTGAGAGCTCGACCACCTTCGCCATCTTGACGGTCGAACTCGGAAATGCTGACTGGCATATCCCATGGCAGTTGCCGATAATTTTTGCTTCGTAAATCCGGGATCTCGTTCGAATCTTTACTCTCACCGTCTGATTTATCCAGCTGAGGTAATCCGTGAAAATAGTACGACGTTTCAGGCGGTAACAAGCCAGTCGGTCTTTCGGGACTGCCCAAAACGGGTAACATGACTGTAATGTGCCAGCTCTCACTCGGATCGTCTAAATCGCGAGTGATTCGTATCAATGGATCGATGAATGAATCATTTAAATGATTCGGCCGGTGCTTTGAGCTTAAAAACCTCATGATCACATCATGCGCATGATTATCTTCTAACCGGAAGCTTGATAGATTACTCTAAAAACTTACTGCTGATCTAATGGAGCATAACTGGATAGCGAAATACATCATCTACAACAGTGCGTGCAAATGCTTCATTGATGTAAATCACCAAGATTAATATTACTGTGTCCGATTTCTGGGTTAGCGGTACACGACCACGGCACTTACGTTTTCTCTTTGTCCAACCTCACTTAATGTGATTCTTCTAAATATGGGAAGGACCACTTCAAATCGATCGTTTAACATTGGTCTGCTTGATCATAAAAAGCTAATCTGTTGACCTTTACTCCAAATTAGAAATTCACCTTACAGAAAAGAAAATTAAGCTCCCGCTGATACAACATAGATCTGAGAGTTCACGAAAATGTGTATTATTCTGATCTATTTCAGCCCTGCCAGCAAAAGTGCGACTCCAGTGTGGCCAGAGTGAGAAAATGGCACACGTTTTACGCACTTTTACCGGGACTGAACGAGCGACCCTTTATAACGGCAATTCTTTTAAACCTTAACGACCGAACCTCAGCGTTAAGAAATAAACTACCCCAGTCTTACATGACGTGCATAATACCCCCATTCCTTCCCACTTAGCCCAACTGTGCCCCATATCTCCCTGCTCCCTTCTAAAAATAGAAGCTATAGTATTTTTCTAATGTAATTCTATAAGCCTGCCTATACTTCTATACCCAGTAGCCCACGCCCCGAACAACATGACGAATGTCTCTGAATCGATCGAATCAATTCTAGTAATTCTAGTAGTAAAACGTGCATCACAAAAATAGTTTATTTGTCATTCAAAACAGAAATCAAGTGTACAAAATCGTTGTGCTCATCGAAGTTTTTGAATAAAGCTTTGAATTATTCGTTTAACATCCTAACTATTACATCCCAGGATGTTGTGCATGCGAACGGCATCTGAAAAAGAAATAATGTTTAAATCAAAAGTTAATAAAAAAATAAAATTTATATGGTAGAAAATGTAACTAATGGTAAACAAATAGATAAACTTACACCTCAAAAACGCCATGAAGCTTCATGGTATTTTGGAGGTGTAGAATAACAACACACTTGAACACCCAGATTAGACTTACCAGTTATTACCAAATGCGTCTGATCGATTAGGTTTTGCGGGTGTTTTTGGATACTCAATATCTTTTGAGTAATTAGGCTTTGCAATCCTGCTTGGACCAGGACTCACTTCAAAATCCTGAAAAACAACTGGGGCTGTAAAAGTAAGTTGGGTTCAGTTGAAAGAAGATCTACATTTTTCTTTTCTTTGTCAAATGCATTGGTTCTGTGGCATTCGACAAGGGCACATCTGTTTCTTCTCTTAGAATATCTTCATATCTAAGAGCTTTAAAATAATTATCTATAGGAACTCGAAAGTAAAATTGTTAAACACTTACCGCATTCCTTCAAAACCACAATTTTGTATGGTTTTGCATCTCCTGGCAACTAACCGCCCGACTTGAGCAACTTAAGAAGTGGGGTGGAAACCGTAACCGGCTTGGACCAGAGTATGTGCTCACTGTCCAACATCCAATTCTTGTGGACAGTGGCTAATGTTTCGTTTTCGAACTCAACTATGGCGTACATCTAAAATAAATATTTCTTTAAAGATTATTCGCCATTATGATAAAGAACCGAAGAAAACGTGGCATGCAATCGTGTTGTTGTATATACAAAATAGACAATGGAATATTTACAAATGATCGCTTTACATTTCGTTGATGTCCTTATTCTTCCTGTTCATTTGAGTAAATTCATTTCAAGTGAACCTGAATTAGAAACCGGTTAATGATCGTTGTGCTTTAACTGTGGGTATAAATGTATGTAGTAATGAATAAAATACGTACCCCGTCTTGTAAAGCAGAGACAAACATTTGCATTAAACACTGTTCGTTGGCACAAGTTGCAAATCCGCAACTTTTTCGCAATGAAAACTGTACAGATCCGTAGATTTTATACATCTCCCAAAGAACGGCTGAACTGATGCAAACGTATTGATCAGAAGTCCGCCACGATCCTCACCCACAATAAATCCTGTCTGCCCATTACAAATTATGGCATTATCCGGAAAGGCCTTGCCTGATTCATATGGAAAACCAACTACACGTTGGTTATGTGCAATTCTGCGGCTGCCGTGGCACCCTGTATCGTCCAAGGGTGCATTTGATACGGAGGTACATTCCAAAGTCCTTTCCGTGATACGCCGGAACATCTGTTCAGCGGGCATTCTAGGGGAACGCACAAGTCTTTGCAGTTCGCCCATAAAAGATTCAAAAGGAAAAACTGAATAATTATCCAGCGCACCACTATGTCTGACGTCATCTGCCAGGTGAGAGACAGTGCACATTATACACCAGTTCGCTTTCTCCGTAAAGAGCCGCAAGCTGGTTTAGCAGTCAATTAATCATGTCTTCGATGAAATCAACATAATGCTTGAGAACCAGGGGTGAGCCATTACACAAAAGTATAAGGAGAATTTAAGAAGTTTGCATATTTCGTGGGGTCTAATAGTCCCCTGAGGACCACCGGTTCAATGTATAGCAAGAACTGGCGGAATTCCGAGGCTTTCCAGTGTTCAAAGTCGTCAAAATTCCTGCACTTCCTCGGGAAATCCCACGGCAGACTGCCTCTCACATCATCCAGTCGCTGTGAGATCTGACGCAAGGTCGCAGAAGTCAGTCTGGTACTGTTTGCTATGGGACTGGTACGCCAAACGTTGATCAACCTTTTGCAGAAGCCCAAACATACCAAATGCATGTATTCCAATGGGAATACATTGAGCATATCCACCTTTAACATCTCAAAAGGTGATTCCCCAACATTGTGTTCATCATCACGTCCAGAACGAAAATCGGTGTCAGTCCGGGAGCGATAGATTTTGTGAGGAAACGCCAACTTGTTCCGGTCATGAACACCAGATGTCACGCAGCGCTCACAGGAATTGTATCCGTTATGGCATTTGATTTGCTTTAAAAATGCACGTTTTGGAGCATCACATATTATACTGTCCAACTCCAAAGCAACAGCGGGACCTTCAGATGAAAATCAGAACCTATCAGATTCGCACTGGTGCGATTCGTCAATCAACGGTGTCAAATATTGCGTTGCGTTTTTTGGTTTACATAGACCACAGTAGACTCCGATAATGAAAACTTCCGTTCGCGGTTGTACTAGACGACCTAGCACAGGTCAGAGCTTCATACGTGAACTGCGGAAAAGAGCTAGCCCATCGATGGGAATTTGCAAACGCAACAGAGCATTCAAAGGGGAAGGCCTTGGGCTGAATGCATTCTTACTAACATCACACAAGCCAAAGTGAACATATTTTCCGGATTCCATGCATATGCTTTTCGATATCCGAGGAGTACGTAGAAGAGTTCGACTGTCACTCGGTAACTCCGGGAATAATCCGCGAAGATGCTTCAAAATTATGTTGATGGCACCGGCAGACAGTTTAGCCTCAATCGAAAAAGCCCGGCGTATACCAACCAAACTGTGGCGGTTTTCAGCAGTGCCGTAAACATCTGAAATTATGCAAGGCCAGATAAATAACTGCTTTTCTACACATTACGCCATATACCTGGTAAATGGGCTGAACAAATAGAGCGTAAAACAGTTTGCGTGCTTTTACAGCACTTTTGATCTAGCAACAAAATTAAACACATCTTGACCTACTTCGTACAACTTACTATTAGAGGAATCACTCAAGGCAAATAATGACGTCATGGCACATTTCTCTGGAGATATGCGATTAACAATATCACTTATCGGTATCTCTTATAAAAGATGTGATTATAATCATATAATATCTCAATACATACCGGTGCAGGGCTGGCTGGTTTGTGGGCTGATTGGGTTTTCAGGGGCAACGGTGTCACAACAATTGTCNCATCACTTAGTTCAAATGTGGGTTGCGGACCTAAAAGCAAATAGGATTATGTACAATTTTTCTTACTATCCATGGGATTGTTGTCTGATCGTTATCTGATTCCTGCATTGACACTTCAGGTTGCAGTTGTGGACACTCCGTCGGGAAATAACTCTGCAACTGCCGACAAGTGGTCTGTCTACTTGTTCCACGGAGTAGTTTAATCAATGTATGACGAGATTTTCGCATAGTGAAAATATTGACGAACAAATACGACGTGTAACACAATGGAGAT